TCAGCTGTTTGGACTCTCATTCTGACGGCACCCATTCACTGCAGAGCATCCATTGGTGAGCAAGTGATGAAATTATGCATTTCTCCAAATCTGTTCAGATGAAGAAACAAACTCATCTATATATTTGGCCTGAGAGTAAGTACATTTTCAGCAAATTTTCAATTTGGAGTGAACTATTTCTTTAATTATAAGGTGAGACTTGTTTAGAATTGTGTGTGTTTTTTTCTGCCAGTGGCATTTTTAATCTTTTATACACCTTTATGTTTTTGACTTTGTCATAAAGCTTTAAATTTTTTGAGCATTAGCGGTAATAAATGTTGTAATGTTTTCAATCCAGCTGGTATTCACCGTTCCGTGAGCTTTGATTGTAGGAAGTCTTCTGATCTTTAATTTATCTGCTGCTTCAGTGTGCAGCTGCAGACGAGAGAAAGAAGGGCTTGAAAGAGATGAGAAATGGATGAATCAGTTTACCTTAAGAACTGTCTTCAGGGTCATGTCGTGTCTTGTGCCAAATAAATCTGCATTTGCATTTGCAGAAATTAGTAGACTTTTTTCTTTTTATTTCATGTGAACTAAACATAATGTGGTTTGAGTATGTGACTCTTTGTCTCTTGTTTTCTCTGTAGAAATATCGGTATCAGGATGAAGAGACTCCGCCCCTGGAGCACAGCCCCGCCCACCTGGCTCACAGCAAGAGTGCTGAGATGCTTCACATGAGTGATAAGAACCTGGCTGCCATGGACACCATGCACAGTTACGCCCCACACACACACATCTCACCAATAAAGGTACGGACACACACACACAGGATTGTGCTGTTAATACTGTACTTATATTATAATACTTTCCCAGAGTAAGATTTTATTGTTGAGGTGTTGCTGTTTTCTAAGCTCAGGAGACCTAGCAGAGTATTTTATTCTATTCTATTCTATTCTGTTCTATTCCCTCAGGAGAAATAGATGCAGTCATTCACTGGAAAACAATAAGATTATACTGCAATATAATAAACAGTTATTTACTATTATTTATATACGGTAATTTATTAATATTTTTAATTAGCTTTTATTTTTATATTTTCATTTTTCATTTTAATTTTAGTTTAAGCTTTAGTAATTTTGCTATGTGCTTTTGTCCTTTTTACATTTTTGTTTTGCTACAACTTAAGCATATTTTATTTCAGTTAGTTGCTGAAGCAAAATTTCTAATATTTGTTTCTTAGTTTTTTTTTAACAGTTAATTGTTTTTATCTAATATTTATATTCCATTTTATTTCAGCTTTATTTCAATGAACAAAACCATTTTTAATAGTTTTAGTTTTTGTAGGCAGAAAAGGCCTACCTATTGTCAATAGTGTAGTGATGTATGAAGCACAACTCACAAAACACTTAACCTCTATTAGTCAACATGGGAATTTGCATGAATTTCCAGATGTGAAATCTGTGTGGGGAAATCTTGTGTCCTCTAGCAAAATTCCTTATAGCATGCATACCTATTGAAATGACTGGATTTTGTATGTGAAAATTCACACGAAATGTTCATTTCTGAATCATATTGATCGTAAATTTGGTATTCATGCACTTGAGTACATTTGCAGCATATGCTCTCCATTTGCTCTTGTTTTTGTCTAGTAGAAACAATTGCGATGTTGAAGAGATGTAATTTGAGACGTTCACTTGCCAACATACTCGGATAAACCACTGTATAATATAATACTTATTCACTGAGTGTGTGTGTGTGTATCATCTCTGTTCTCTTTGTCTTTGAGAAAATGTTCATGTTTTCCATGAGTTATCCACACAATCGATCCATTGCATTATGATTATGTGTCTGAATTCTCTCATGGCCTGGTCTACAGTGCTGTATACCTCTATGGCAGCCGTGTGCTCTTCTGTACTATTTCTTTACTCTTCTGTTCCTCTCTGTGTCTTACCGTCTCTCCGTCTGACCTCTGTGTTCATTTCCTGCCTGGTTTCCCCATTTCCTCTGGCTTCAGTAGGTGTGTGTGTGACTCTACGTGAGTTCTGTACACCTCTGCTGTGTGTAGGCAGATCAAACCCATCCAATCACTCTGGACTCTCCAGCACATTAAACACACACACACTTCCGTCTTGCGTAATTTCTCAACACAGACTCACATACAGTGCACAGATTGGCACAGTACCGTGTTATTTGTTCTATTTTTACACTATTTATACGGTATGTACAATATGTTCTGCATGCATTGAAGACCAAGATGGTCCAGATTGTACATTTACCTAAGTGTGCAGCATACAGCCAAAGTACAGTCAGTGATTCAATGATCCATTCATAAAGGCAGTTGCTTTATAATCGAATCATTTGAATTAATAATTCAATGAATCACTCATTAAGTCAGGGACTTGCTGCCACCTACTGGTAGTTTTAGTGTCATATTTGTTTATCCATGACAGGCCTAAACCAGTCAAAATATTGTTTAATTACCGTTATTGAAAAAATCCCCAAAAATATTAAGTTAGGCCTATCAATTTTTGTTTATATTGTACACCCCTAGAAGTATTCTCTGTCTTGTTTTTGGCCCTCTCTATGAAACATGCTGTTTTGAAAGGCATGTATCATTTCCCTCTGATTTTAGGAATAAATTATGGGTAGGGTTAGGTTTAGGGGTAGGGATTGGGTTAAGTCTATATTTTTGGACTGTAATGCCGATCCAGGATCAACAAAAGATGTTGATTCAGGAACATGTTTTACTTGGCAAAATCACGGCGACCTAATAATGTCTATGCCCACTCAGTCTTGATGGCAAACACAGATCAGTTTTTGCCAATAACCGATAGTTCCAGCAATCAACTATCGGTGCCGATTAATCGGCAAAACCAATCAATCAGGTGAACTCTAGTTAAGGCTGCTCTGTGCCTGCTCAAAATTCTGTGTAAAGACGCAATGCTGAATAAAAGCCAGACTAAATTATTCCTGCTTTGAGCCTCCTCGGCCCCTAATACAACAATATGCTGTTATAATTGCTATTTAAATGCATTCATGCCACCTCTGAGCAGCATTAAACTCTCCGTGTAAAGATGGCTAATTACCACTTCAGAAGTGCTTCTTTGCCTCCTTTGCAGTGGAAATTCGGTATTGGTTAATAAAAGCTGTTATTAGACTAATGAGAAAGTTTTGAGTTCTGAAACTTACAGGATGTTTTTATTGTTCTCAGTTTATGATGCCATTCATTTTTCGAGCAATTCATGCGAAAATATCCTTTGAAGAAAGACAATTTTTGAGTATTAGTGCTGAACATTGACTATGTATGCAAATATATGTGAGAGGCCAAAATACTGACACACAATATACTTATAATAATAATAATAATAATAATAATAATAATTTAATGTATAAATTAAACAAGTTTAATTTATATAGTGCCTTTACCAAGCTCAAGGACGCTTCACAATGACAAAAGCAAATAAACAATCATGTCATACATAGATGGACAAGACATTTGCCAAGTCCAGAACGTGCGGTTGCAGTTGCATACCACAGTTATAATACAGTATCAAATCACAATCACAAAAAAAAACTTTATAACAGGTAATATTGGTTGAACATATAGGTTTTGAGTTTAGACTTAAATTCGTGGAGTGTGGTTATTGTCCGGATTTTAGGAATAAATTATGGGTAGGGTTAGGTTTAGGGGTAGGGATTGGGTTAAGTCTATATTTTTGGACTGTAATGCCGATCCAGGATCAACAAAAGATGTTGATTCAGGAACATGTTTTACTTGGCAAAATCACGGCGACCTAATAATGTCTATGCCCACTCAGTCTTGATGGCAAACACAGATCAGTTTTTGCCAATAACCGATAGTTCCAGCAATCAACTATCGGTGCCGATTAATCGGCAAAACCAATCAATCAGGTGAACTCTAGTTAAGGCTGCTCTGTGCCTGCTCAAAATTCTGTGTAAAGACGCAATGCTGAATAAAAGCCAGACTAAATTATTCCTGCTTTGAGCCTCCTCGGCCCCTAATACAACAATATGCTGTTATAATTGCTATTTAAATGCATTCATGCCACCTCTGAGCAGCATTAAACTCTCCGTGTAAAGATGGCTAATTACCACTTCAGAAGTGCTTCTTTGCCTCCTTTGCAGTGGAAATTCGGTATTGGTTAATAAAAGCTGTTATTAGACTAATGAGAAAGTTTTGAGTTCTGAAACTTACAGGATGTTTTTATTGTTCTCAGTTTATGATGCCATTCATTTTTCGAGCAATTCATGCGAAAATATCCTTTGAAGAAAGACAATTTTTGAGTATTAGTGCTGAACATTGACTATGTATGCAAATATATGTGAGAGGCCAAAATACTGACACACAATATACTTATAATAATAATAATAATAATAATAATAATAATTTAATGTATAAATTAAACAAGTTTAATTTATATAGTGCCTTTACCAAGCTCAAGGACGCTTCACAATGACAAAAGCAAATAAACAATCATGTCATACATAGATGGACAAGACATTTGCCAAGTCCAGAACGTGCAATTGTATACCACAGTAATAATACAGTATCATAATCACAATCACACACACACACACACACACACACACACACACACAAAAAAAAACATTATAACTGGTAATATTGGCTTAAATTCGTGGAGTGTGGTTATTGTCGAAGAGCCAGGGGCAATGTGTTCCAAAGTTTAGGAGCCACAACAGAGAAAGATCTACCTCCCATAGATGATAATCTCGGAGCACAAAGAAGTTCACCTCCAGATGATCGAAGTGGACGAGAGGGAATATATGGAGAAAACAGGTCAGAGAGATAAGTAGGTGCAAGTCCATGGAGTGACGTAAAGGTAAGCAGAATAATTTTATAAATGATACGAGAGGACACAGGTAGCCAATGGAGGTTGAATAGAATAGGAGTGATATGCACAGACCATTTAGTGTAAGTTAGCATTCTCGCAGCAGAATTTTGAATATATTGCAATCGGGAGATGGAGCTTACTGGTAATCCGGAAAAAAGAGCATCACAGTAATCAAGGCGAGATGTGATTAATGCATGTACTAGTAATTCAGCATCTTTTGGGCTGATGAAGGAACGCAGTTTGGCAATACGGGCGAAGTTGAAAAAATGCAGCTTTGGAGAGCTTACTAATTTAAGCATCTAGGTTTGGAGAAGAGTCAAGAATGATACCTAAGTTTTTGACTGTGGCAGATGGAATAATTGATGTGGCTTCAAGGTCAAATCTAGGGGCATTTGTTATGTGTTTTGTTAGAGTTGGGGGCCTGACAAGTAAGATATCTGTTTTAGTCAAATTCAAACTGAGAGAGTTGGAGCTAAGCCAGGTCTTTAACTCATTGACGCATGACAATAGAGATGCAGTCTGGTGAATAGAGTCAGGTCGGCAGGAAGTGTATATCTGAATATCATCAGCATAGCAGTGGTACTGTAAACCGTGGCGGCGAATAATTTGTCCGAGGGGCATAATATAAACAATAAATAATAATGGCCCTAGGACTGAGCCCTGTGGCACACCCTGTTTAAGAGGGACAGAGGGAGATTTATAGTTATGTATGGTGATGTAGTATTGTCTGTTTGTCAAATATGAGGAAAACCAGGATAACGCAGCTCCTGAGATGCCAATCTCTGAGAGGCGCATGAGTAATAGCTTATGAGAGACGGTATCAAAAGCTGAGCTGAGATCGAGTAGTAGAAGTATAGAAAGATTGCCCGAATCACCAGAAAGGAGGAGGTTGTTTATAACCCTTACTAGAGCAGTTTCAGTACTGTGTTGCGAATGAAAACCTGACTGAAATATATCAAAGTGTTCATTGAGAGCTAGAAATTACTGCAATTGAGCGGCAACAACCTTTAGCATGATTTTTGAAACAAACGGTAGGTTGGAGATTGGATGACAATTAGTGTAATCAGGTGGGTCTAGAGAATAGGAGTGACATCAGCAGTTTTAAGTGAAACTGGAACAGTTACAGAGATAAGAGACATGTTTACAAGATGTGAAATTGGAGCAGAAATGACAGAGGTGCAGTGTTTCAAAAGGAATGTTGGTGCAGGGTCAGCCCGGCAGGAAGAAGAATTGGATTTCAGTATTATTTCACTAATTAAGGTGGGATTAGTCAAGGAGAAGTTATCAAGCATTTGAATAGACCGAGCTAGCTCACAAGTAGATGTGGTCAGTTCTGCACCAAATGTCCCACATAAAGCGTCCAGCTTACCTTGAAAATGGCGTAAAAAAGAACATGACATTTCTTATGAATGACTTGTGACATTTCGACTTCGACATTTCGACATGACTTATGAGATTTCGACTAACCTTGTAAATAATTTAACAGGCATGAGGGAAACAAGCCACCATTTAATAATCATGTCAGTATCCACGGCAGATGATGAACCATAATACCTGGAGTGAAGCACACAAACATATGTAACATATGTTCTTATTTATGCATCTTAGCAGCTGGCTAATATGTTTGGTGTAAAATCACTTTAGCATGAAGCTCATTTACATGCTCATGTTAGTTGTGTTCAGTGTGTCAAGGGTGTTTGGCTGGATATGAAGGTCAGAATGCAAACCACTCCTCCTAGCTTTGCTCTATCTCTGTGGTACCATCTGTCTTCATGTGAAACATGCCTGTGAAACACAGCACGCAGACATCCACATACATGTTTTTTAGTGCTTCAATAATATCTACAGTATCAGTGCAATACAAACAAATCTAATTAGCAAAATTATCATTATCAGTGCTCATTATTATGTTGATGATTTAATTATTCAGTGCATCATGAAATTTGTACGTATTTTCAAAACCATGCTGAATATAGTCATATTTATTATAATTATAATATAATTATAATAATTATTAAATTCTGTAATCAGTGCATTCAGTTTTCATTTTTGAAATCGATGCATTTGTAACTGCTACTCATTTCTATTTACACAAATATGCAAGGCAGTGGATGTAGTTAGATAAATGAAGGTGGAGATTTGTAAGTATTTTTTCGAATTTGTTTCAATTTTTGTTTGTATATGTAATATGATACTGATATGGGATCTACAGTATGTAAGATGTACAGTATGTATGTCCTTATGTCTTAGCATGGCTTATATTTGTGTTACATGCTGTTCACTTTGCATGACACACACACACACACACACACACACACACACACACACAGTATGAATCACTTTCATGTGGTCATATGACACATCAGAGCTCCTGCATGCCTCCTTCTGCTATTCCTGCTAGTATTCAACCAGTACAAATAAAACAAATAATTCAATACCTCCACAACAAGCCTCATATTACATTCATTTGATGTTGCTGAAAAAATGTCAGTACTTTTAAATTTTATGACAATATTTAATATGTGCCTTGATATTGATACATTTGCTCTGCAATGATTTTTAATCAGAGATCACCAAAACATTTGACAATGTACAAAAAAAACAATGTCAATCTGCCTCAATGGGAAGAAGCAAAAGTCTACAATCTACATCAAGTCTGTGCCTGTCGCACAAATAGCGCACAAGAGACCTGAGTTTGATGTTAGCATGTTGCTAATGTGACAAGAAGCAAAATAATTAGGGCTGTCAAGTGATTAAAATTTGTAATCTAATTAATTACATGATGTACCAGTTAATTAATTGAATTATTGGCAAATTAATCACACATCAGTTTGGGCTGAGAAATTACCCACAAAAGATCATTATTATGTTAAATGTGAAAAGCATCAAATGAATAGACAATTAAAAAAAATCCTTTAGAAAGAAATATTTTGATTCAACATACAGTTTATTACACATAAAGTTTTAAGGCTACAATGTGGCAATAACATTATTTTTTTAGAAGCTGCATCCAAAGTGGCATTTATGTATATTTACACAGACTGTTCAGAGGTGGCATGAATGCATTTACACTACAATTAGAATTGCTATAGAAATAGAAATGCTATGAGATCAATGGGTGTTAAATCAGCATTTAAGGTATTTTATTTTTAAGGTATTTTATTTGATTTTTTTATATTAACAAATGAAATGTTTTTTTGTATTTTGTTAAATGGAATATATTCTAAACATTAAACGATATCTGCCAGTAGGATAGATTAGTGCATATATTTGGGTTCAAATAAAGAATAATTGTCAATAGACCATTAAGATATTGAATAATTAGGATTTTTCATATTTTATAAAACACTTGTGTTTAGAGCTGCGTTCTTACTCTGTACGACATACATACTGTATCATGTACGTTATTAAATATTATTACAGTATTCTCTGTCAAGACAGCCAGCCTTTATCCAACTGTTAAAACTTCTGTGCTTTCCATATATGTGCATTACTTTTTACTTTTAATTTGTAACTTTTTACTAGTTACTTTTAGGTTTTAACAGATGGATAAAGGCTGGTTGATGGACAGCGGTCAGTTTAGTGATCATTTTGCACAAATATTTAACAGAACAATGCTAGAATCAGCCAATTAGAATGAGGTATTCTGACAGATCAGCCATCTGTCTAATAAAATGCATAACGTTTGGTTGAATTAGTAATATTTTTATTGTTGAACTTCAGCAAACCTCTGGAGTGTTTGACAGTATTTATGCCTCTGTGAATAAAGGAGCAGGGAATTGGAGAAAATGAGATGCACATTCCTGTGGGAATCTTTCAATCATTTGGCTCTCAGGATGGATTTGGGTCAGGAATGAGTCTCAAGGGCTTCAGAAGGAGCGAGCGATCATCTTGCAGCCTCGAGGAATGTGTACTATGAGATTTTCATCTGCCTGTTGAGAGCTCTTATCTTCAGAGTTTATTTTTGGAAAGCACAACATTTCATACATGTAAAGGATTTTTCAAGCAATACCTGAAGCGATTTAATCACTCAAAACTGAACAACGTCGCCATCTGCTGTTAATGCATAGAACAGCATTTAGCTTTCAGGACTGAGGACAGTTCCAGGTTATACTGTGATGATGCTGTTTCTCTATAAAGGGGAAGCAAACATAGTGCAGACTGTACTCTTATAGTATGTTTTACTTGTCCTTTTATTCCTTTCTACTTTTTTTCCAATTCCTTTTATGCAGCACCTGTAAAAAAAACTGTATATGCTTGAATATTGTTCACCTAAAAATTAAAATGTATTCGTTCTCAGGCCATCCAAGATGTAGATGAGTTTGTTTCTTCATCAGGTTTGTAGAAATGTAGCATTGCATCAGTGTCTCAGCAATGGATGCTCTGTAGTGAATGGGTGCCGTCAGAATGAGAGTCCAAACAGCTGATAAAAACATCACAATAATCCACACGTAATCCACACCACTACAGTCAATCAGCTAACATCTTGAGAAGAGAAAAGCTGCGTGTTTGTAAGAAACAAACCAAAACTGTTCACACGAAGAAACAAACTTTCTACAAGACATATATGCTTTATCATAGTTTTTTTTTCATACAAAGTATGATTTCCATTTTTAAAAATCTGTCCAATATAAATACATATGATGGGACATAAACATGTACTGCATAGTTTAAATGAACCTGCGCATGTCCTCCTCAATTTTTGGGTCTGTTTTCACTTTCCCGTTTCCTTAACTAATCTAATTTACATTCACTGCATGAGACGCAAAAACAGCACCTCCAGGACTCTCATGTCAGTCTCCTGTAGATCCTTTTTTCCCCCAATTATATCCCATTTGCTTTTCTGTCCCCAGTACAGAGCCTTTGATGGGATGCCATGCTTTATTGAGCTCAGAAGAGCGAAACACTAACTGGGAATTTCTTTTAAGATTTCAGTTCATTTCACAAGACAGTTCTCTAAATAGGTCATTAAATTCACTAAATACAATGATTCCTTTACTAAATTATAAGATTCAGCATGAAATGTGACTATTATGGTAATGATAAAATCCATAATCAATGTATTGAATTTATATTATTACTGTAGATAGCAGATTCAGTGCATCAGTGCATTTTTACACCCCAGTTGTATATATCAAAGGCTCCGTTCTGATGTTTTTTTATTTTATCCTGTGGTTTTGTTGTTGAGTTATCCGCTCTCCTCTCCTGTTTTTGTTTTTTCACAGCCAGTGTTGCTGTCCTCTGGTCAAACCCCTCTGTACACCTCTGCGGTCTCCACACTGGTAAGAACACCGATGCTTTGCTGCCCCTGCTGTCCGGGAAGCAGAACTGCACCTGTAGTTATGTGATCATTTCATCCTTTTCCATGCCATTTCATCAACGACAGCCATATGAAATCATAACAACCATGGAAATAACTCACAGATAACTCACATCCCCATCTTGATGGTTTCATATACCACAAATAGCAGTGGTTATTTAGGAGAAAAACAAGATTTCAGTTTCCATCTTGATTTTTAGTATTTAAACCTTTAAATTATATATATATAGATTCTGGTTCAGTTTTTTAAAATGATCAACAAAATAACAGTAAAAAAAATTATTTCAGTTTAGATTTATCCTTTTAATTATTATTTTTTTAATATGTATTATTATTGTTATTTTAAATAATTGAATAATTTGCCGAGGCCCCCTGGTTTGAGGACAAATTGCCATTTTGACAACAGTTATTGGAAAAAAGCATGAATGACACTTTCTTTGTGACATTGTTCTTCACAGTGGCATCATCATGATTGTTTAATTGTTATTATCTTGATAAAGGTCACTGAACTGCGTCATCAAATTGTCAAGTCAAATTCAAGTCAGTTTTATTTATATAGTTCTTTTCACAATACACAAAACTCAAAGCAGCTTTACAGAAAAACATGATGTTAATGTTTATAATATCTTAATATAGTCACGACTTACAGTCGATTCGAGCAGGTGGATAATATAGTTACATTTTGTGATGATACAAGCAATCAAGCGGATGAGATTTGATCACCCTATGCAAGTATACTGTATGTATAATGTAGGTATACTGCATGGATTGATGATGGGACCAATGACATTGAACACACACACCACTTTAAAAACAATGAACCCAGTCAAATTTAATTGCTGCCTAATTAAAATCGATCCAAGGCCATTGCTCTTTTTGACCACTGCAAAATTTACTTACTGATGAAGAAAATCAAATTGAAAGTCATAACTCGTCGAGTGGAAATGACATAAATTGTTGTGACAAGTTAAATGGATGAAGACTATTTTTATTTTTACTATTGCATGTCAGCTTGTTTTTACAGTGGCTTCCATCATATTTCTATATGGTATTTCTCTGTCGCCTGAAGTCATCATTTTCTCTGTGCTGTCACATCCACTGCGGTAATATCAGCAAACTCGTCACTCTGCTGCACAGTATCAACTTTAAACCACACACACACACACACACACACACACCGGTTTATCCATACAGGTACACTTTTATATTCTCTCTGCAGTTTCAGCCTATTATTTCTGACAGCTCGTATATCTGCCCAGAACAGTGTTGTTTTCTTCAGGTTCTGCTTATAGTCATATGTAACCTAACGTCTGCGTATGGGATGGCCAGACTTCAGTTTTTATTAAAATGCTAATCTACTGATGAACAGTTTGTCAGATAATCTTGTTTAATGATCCTGCTTCAGTTATGCAAGTAGAGAAACAAAGAGTGTGTGTGAGAGATCTCTGTTTGATTTCATCCTTCAAAATATGCAAGTTATTTGAAAACACTGCAATGATGGTGGGTGAGTGTAACGGAGGCCAGCGAGTAAGTGCTGTGCAGGTAAACCTCACTCCCCTGATCTCAAGAGACGCACTAGCGACTGACGCTAGAGACTGCAGTCTTTAGCCTCCTTGTTAGTGCGTCCGCCTCCCATGCCGGAGACCAGGGTTTGAGACCCACTCGGAACAAGAACGAGGTGTGGCGGTGAGGACCCGGGAGAGAGGGGTTACATATATATACAGGAACTGATTAGCCAGTGGCAGGAAACTTGAGCTTGTTATGCTTCAAACAATTATGTTTCACTGAAGTATCTACTTTGTTTCTTCTAAAATGCCTTAAAGGATATAGAAATAGACACAAATGTGCAATCCTTGAGAGCCAGATAAAGTTAGATCACTTGGTTCAGGAGTTCATATTGTCATTTCAGACTCTCGGTTGATTTTGTTATCCTGGCAGACCTGAGCACGGTTTGAGACGTTGGGATCTTTTAGAAGAAACTTAGGGATCTTTTCCTAAAGAGAAAAATCTGAGAAGCAGGAGGTTTGATTTGTTTGCTGTTTTAGGCAAGACTCCACAAGTGAATAGGGTAAAAATGCTGTCAACAATCTAAAATCAAATTAATTTTTAATTTAATTAATTTTAGGGATAAAATGCATATAAATCAATATCACCTTAAGAATATTGATACTGTAAAACAATGATATGATCCGTAAGTCATGGCAACTTATGTTTTTACATAACTTTAACTCATCTTAACTTTTTCACAAGTTATAGGCCTATGAAATTCAACTAGATTTTTAAGTCGGTTTAATGTAATTTAAGTTGAAATGACTTGTACAACCAAGTCAATTATACGCAAAAAATATATATAAATTAAGGCATGCCACTGAACATAATTTTTTACAGTGTCAAAAACTGTAAAGTTTGGTGTATGTAAGTGCTGCTGAAGTGGAGAAAAGTGCATGAGAAAAACTCATGGCCTTTAAAGATATGTATTGTAATTTAAATCTACAAGATGTGAAGTGTAAGAAAATAAACACTTAAATGTGTATTTTGGATGTTTTCTTTCCATTTCTAACGGAGGCAAAATCACCTCAAATTTCAAAGTTGACCAGTGCATGAAAAAACTGTGGTTAACCCAGAGTGTCTCGCCTTAATCTCACTGCTGTGTAGGAGAAACAGCTGAGATATGAAGTAGATTTGACTGTGGAAATAGGATCTTTCCCATATGGACACACAGCACTCACGAACATTTCAAACAGGAGGTTGAGACGGTTAGATTCTGGTGTCCATAGCAACGGGACTGCTGCTGCTGATATTAACACGTTTGAAGTGCCAAGAAGGCAAGTGAAATCATCCTGAGCTTTCCTCTGCTCTCTCTCTCTCTGACTCTTTTCCATTTCTAAATGACAGGCTGTAGGAAGAGGGGTAGTGAGATGAGGAGAAAGTGAGCACACACACACACACACACACACACACTCACACTCACACTCACACACGCACGCACGCACGCACACACACATGCACTCACACACACTCACATCTATTGAGTCACAGTGGGATACAGGAACCAGCAAACCCTGAACACTCATCCACAGAGAACATGGATTGAATGAGTACAAGCGAATTATGTAATCATAACTAGATAGATAGATAGACAGACAGACTTGATTTTGTTGGTCAATCGTGTTTTTTTGTGGTCCAATTTTTATTTATTTTTTTTGTGACCTGAAGCTAAATCTACATTTATATAAAATAATTTATACTATTTTGTTTTAATATTTAATGCTTAAATATTATACCAAAATCGCCAAATGTGTCTCTTTAACTACAAAACTACACATACCAATCTAGGATTATTGTCATTAATTAAAACTAAAACCATATAAAATGTTACATTTAGTTTTTTTAGATTTTGTTTTACTTAATCGAAATTGTATGAAACTTGGTAAAGTTTTTGCCACTTGCTATGTGAAAAAAAAAAGGCTAAATGGTCCTGAAAAAACAACTACTTTTTTTTTACTTTTGGTCTCTTTGGAATTCTGAAATAATCTGCCATGTGTTTTCTTTAAAACACCAAACCATTTGTGCTCCAAACCATTAAAGATGGTTCAGCTGGAAATTTCATTTTTAGCTCTATGCTCAAATAGTGGTTAGTTTGAAGTTTGAACACAAAACTTCATTCCAAGCCTGAAGCAGTGACTTGAGTTGTTCCAGTGATTCATTAAGAGAATCATTTGTTCATGAAAATGGACTACTCTGGTCACGCTCTTGTCAGAAAAAACTAAATAACAGAAAAGCATAACAGGCATTATTTCCCTATTTCTTTTGCCATGGTGCTGTAGATTTAGCTAAGCTAATGGCAAGGAGTAAGAGGCAGTCAAATGAATTAGCAGGTGCAGCGTGCCTTACGCATATGAATGTATGTGTGAGTCTGTGATTGTTGCTCTAAACATTATAGGGACAGACGCAGCTCTGTTGCATAACCAGCTCTGCATGTGACTCTAATTGGCTGTTGGTTTGATCATTTGTATATCTGTATAGGCTTCATGTTGCAGCACAAATGTCTTTGCAGTGCATCCTTAAGTTACAGCAATATGTGCATCTTGGAACAATGTAATTAATAAATGATCTTACTGTTTTCCTATAAATGATAGTGAATAAAGAGCTGAGATAATGAAAAATTAGAAATGGATTGAAGGAGAGGGAGATGTGAATGGACTACAGTGGAAAATGATGTTAGATGAGAAGAAGGAGAGCAGGAGGAGCTGAAGGATAGAAGTGAAGATGAGTCCAGAGGGAAATCCAGGGAGGTAATAACCGCATCTAATTTACAAAGCCCTGATGCTGTAGATTGCTGTTTGTACCTGAATTTAATTTTGCTCACTCTGAATCCCACAAAGGTCCGCAGGATTCAGAAATTAAGAAGGAACCACTGGGCAAGAGGGAATTTCAAACTGATAATTCATTACATTCATTACATTTTAGTTATTGTGTTAAATTTCTGATTTCTAAATCTTAATATTTGTTGGTCAAGCCAGTTTGTTTTTAGAGAAAAAACTCAAGATTTATAAGAACTAATGTACGAGAGAACATGTAACCTTGGTTACCTGCACGTAGTGCTGGGCGGTTTGACCAAAACTCTGTGGAGGTTTCACTTAAAGGGATAGTTCACCCAAAAATGAAATTTGATGTGTGCACTGTGTAAACAATGAGTGATGTATACGCGCGAGAGATCACTTCCGGCGCTTGCGTAAACTACGCCAGAGCGCGTACACACCTCACGCATCGGATGCCGTGCGCGCACCCAAAGACAGTTGGACATAGTGGTGTATTAGAGGAAAAAAATGATATAAATACTGTTCGGTTTCTGGCACAAACCGATCGTTTCGTGTCTTAGGACATCAATGTGTCGTCACGAGCCGCAGGGTTTAATTTGGATTTGTCTGTGCATGTTTTTTTTACTCTCATAGATTTTGT